AGATGAATGGATAAAGAAGATGTGGTCCATATATACAATGGAATATTACTCAGCCATCAGAAATAATGAATACCCAACTTTTACATCAACATGGATGGGACTGGAGGAGATTATGCTAAGTGAAATAAGTCAGGCAGAGAAAATCAATTATCATATGGTTTTACTTATTTAGCATGGAGGACATTAGGAGAAGGAAGGGAAAAATGAAGGGAGGGAAATCGGAGGGAGAGATGAACCATGAGAAACTGTAGACTCTGAGAAACAAACAGGGTTTTAGAGGGGAGGGGGGCGGGGGGATGGGTTAGCCCGGTAATGGGTATTAAGGAGGGCATGTATTTCTTGGAGCACTGGGTGTTATATGAAAACAATGGATCCTGGATCACTACATCAAAAACTAATGATGTATTGTATGGTGACTAACGTAACAATAAAATTTAAAAAAAGAAAAAAAAAAGAAAAACAAGGGTTCATTAAAGGTAACATTGCTTTCTGAGTAAAATTTTGCTAACAAATCCTGGTTTTTTGACACTTAAATTGTGTGGATACAATCTTGCTAAGCAGATACAAAATTACTGTAGATATTTTCATTATGTAAGAGGTATCAGTACTGAAACACTCAATGTGACTGTGGTCCTAGCATTCTGAGTTTTTACCAAATGCAGTGAGATTAGAGTTGTATTTGGGAATGGAATGGACTCCTACTATAATTAATAATCATACTAATAAACTATTCTTCTTTAGCTAGGAGGGAAGGGGCCAAGCTACCTACTCTTGAAGAGAACTGTGGGTTTGGTTTTTTTTTTTCCGTGAAATGAATATAACACAGCTGGTGCATAATTACCGAGTTGCTACAGCCATTAAGATGTGTCAATCATGGGAAAAGGTCAAGTACATTAAGCTGAATAAGCATGTAAACTTTAATTCCATGGAGACTCTAACAGAGTCAGGAAACACAACAAGCCATCATTTATCATAATATATCAAAGAATTCTAATTCCGACAGAAATTCTCTGCTGAGGGAGAGCAATAGTACGAAAGAGACCAAGAAGGTGTGAGTGAGTGTGTGTATGGGCTATTGCACTGCTGTTTCTTGGACTGCTTCACTGAAAGAAAAAAAAGTGTCAAACCAGTGTTGGTCACAGTCACCGGACCTCAGGGCTATATTTGTAATCATTGCAAAACAAAGGGTCACATGACTGTGACTCTTCTATCAAAAAAAATTGAAATCTTGTAAGTGCTAATGTTACTCATCAAAAAAGCCATAGTCTGAGATTTACTAGTTTACTACTCTGACATTAAAAAAAAAAAAGGGGGGGGCGCTTGAGTGGCTCAGTCGTTAAGCTTCTGCCTTTGGCTCGGGTCATGATCCCAGGG